ATATGCAGAATGACCCGCATCCCAATGTCAGGAAGGCAGTTCTTCAAGTGATTGCCCCTACAAGTACCATCTTGGAGTATGTTGTAGAGAGAACTCGTGACTGTAGGGACATAGTGCGAAAGGAGGCCTATATCTATCTTGCTCACAAAGTATCAGTTCGTGCACTCTCCATCAGCAAGAGGGAACGTCTGCTCCGTGAAGGTCTGTCTGATAGAAGTGACATGGTCAGAAATATTGTTCGAGACCAAGTTGTTCCAGCCTGGTTGAACCGCTGCAAGGGAGACATCTTCTCATTGTTGGAAGCTTTGGATGTCACCAATGGAGATGAGGAGGTGCCAGAACACCTGCTGGATGCTCATTTCTCACATGTTTCAAATAAGGAGCTAGTGGAATGTCTTGTCAAATTTATGGATCAGAAGTTGATTTGCTTGGAATCCCTCACTCCAGAGAGAGTCATATATTGGAGATTTCTTGTGAAGTATCTCTCTGAGCAAGGGGCAGGTGATGCTTCCTACCTCCAAGATATCCTGCCTGAAATGATCATCTATGCTGAGTACTTGAGAAACTACGTGTTGGAACAGCAGCCAATTGCAGGAAGTGCCCAGGATATTTTCCTTTGGGAATTCATTTGTACCCAACTTCTCAAACTTGCCAGCATATTTGATTTCAGTGATGAGTTTGGAAGACAGAAACTGGTCAAGACACTTCAGGAGATCCTGCTCTGTAAAAGGATGGGACATCGACTGGTGACTCCATTGATTGTTTGCTATTCAAAAGCTCAACTCATTATCAAGCTACGAGTTGAAGAACTCCTTCAGCTTGTGAATGAGATACTGGAACCCACTCGAGAGGCTGAATCTGTCCCTCATCCTTCAGAAGCTATGCTGGAGCAGCAAAAGAAAGACATCAAGATCAAGATAGCAAAGCTTCGTGTAGAGATTGAAACTTTGAAAGATGATATGAATCAAGCCATGGCTAATGCAGAGTGGGATAAAGTGGATTCAATAAGAGATGGAGTGAAAGTTCGTGTGGAAACTGTTAAGAAGCTTGAAGCTGAAAATGCTACCCTTATTTCAGCCCCTGCTTCTGTACCACAACAGAGCAAAGAAGTGTCATCAGCTGTCCGGTCCATGTCACTATTGAAGAGTCTTTTGATCATAGATGAGATGCTTAGAAACATCTCTCTGAAAGAACCCTTCCCAGAGGCTGCAAATCTTGTGGATGATGTAATTTTGTCTGCTGTGCAAGACGAGGACCCAATTGTTCGAAAGGTGGCTGTTGATGCTCTTGGTCAGTGCTGCCTCAGATGTTTTGATTTGGCCCAGAAGAATATCATCCTACTTCATCAGGTGGCCTCTTTGGACCATGAGACTGTGCGTGTTGCAGCCATTGAAGGGCTCTTTAGCTTTCTCCTTTGGTTTGGCCCTCACCGTTTTCAGTCTATTGATAAAATGAAAGATGGAAAAATGGAAAGTGAGGATAACTCATGGATGGTTGAAACTGAGAAGGATGTGCTTCAGATACTTAGAGGTGAAAGAGATAAAATACCAAGCTCATTCGTTGGATATGCTCTATCTCTTATGGATGATGCAAATGCAAAGGTGAGGAGACTGGCTGTATTACAAGCTTGCAAGTTGCTGTTCAACAACTTGATCTGTTCTCCCCTTTTACTCTCTCATCTTCTTCTTCTATGGGCAAATCCTGCAACAGAAGATGACCCTGAATTGCGTAATACTCTTGGGGTGTTCTTTGAAGTGTTTGTGGCTCACCCAGAGCACCTCCAGCAGATTGAAGAGGCCCTTATTCCATCTTTGAGTGCAATTTGGAATGCTCCTTCATTGTCACCATTATGTCAACTAGATGTGGAAGACTTTGTTGCCTTCCTCATTGAATTAACTCGCGGATCTGGTACTACAGCTGATAATGTAGTCCACAAAAGCTGGGCCTTCAAAATATGCAATCTCATTGTTCAAGATCCAGATGGGGAAGAAACTGATGTAGATTGCCTGGTAAGAGCACTTTGTAAACTGCAAATGCCTGCAGATGACCATTTGGCTCTCAGAGACCTGCATCGGTTGATGAGGAGCCTGATTGAGAATGTTCAGGAGAAGAGACTTATCAGAACTCTGACAAAAGTTGAAGGGGAGTTGAAAGAATTGCTGAAAGCACATGGTGAGAATGAGATTTCAAGCTCAAGCCTGGTTGAAGAAGGGAATGAGTCAATTGGAGATACCCATGATTCTTCAGCCCGCCACAGCAAGACTCGCATTCTTTTTGACTCAACATCAGTCACATGTCTTGATAGGAGCTCTCTTGCTGTGGAAGGAACTCCTTTTGTGGGAAAGAGCCCCAGGTTTCAGGTTGGAGGAAGGGTCGTCCCTATTGATGATGAAGTCTTTATTAGAAGCACACCAGGTACTTGTGAAATAGAGGGGAATTTGGACTCCTCTATTGATATATCTTCCTTCTCTCTTTCTTCATCTGAACACACAAGAGCTTCTCATGTACGTGTAAGAGGAGCTTCTCGAGGTAATATTGAAAAGAAGAATCATATGAGTGCTGTCAGATTGGCTTCTCATGCTGAAGTGGTAAGAGAAGTGGCGAGTGGTGAAGATTCAGAAGTGGAAGTGACAGTGGTCCCTGAATCAGAAACATCATCCCTGGAAGGTAATGAAGAAACTGGCCAATCTGTTTCTGAAAGTGAGGCAGCAGCAGTCACAGAGTCAAGTGAAGATGATGATATGATCCCTCCATCTCCTCCCAAACCTTGGAAGCTGAAACGTCAGAGACACACTGGGAAGAAGGGCAGAGAAGATTCACTCTCATCCACCCCAGCTCCAGTTTATTCCACTAGGTCCCTTCGCTATCAATTTTCTCAAGAATCACAATGAAAAAACTTAGATCAACGACCCCCTGATGATAGGGGCTTCCTTATGCTTGCTCAGATAATATTTCCTACAGTAAAATTAGCTTAAAGGCAAGGAAAATGCACTCAAGTTTCTTTAATACCAATGCTTCCAAGAGCTGAGCTGCAAATACTGGTATTTTGCAATGTATAAGTAAAAATCTGATGATTAAAAAGCAATATCATGAAGTGGAAGTTCACATCAGTTAAGGCTTTGGAATGACTTGGAAAGTTTTCAGCATTCTGTTAGGGTAAATGAAGATCATTTTATGTTTAGAGACTGTTGTCAGTCCAAGAATTCAATGGATCATGTGGATTTTACTGTGCTGTGTGCTTATTGAATGTCATTTTTAGAGCCTTTCCAGTGAGTGTTGTAGTACAACAGGCATTCCTTTAAGCATTTTCTTAAGTGAATTTCCTTGAGTGCCTGGATTTCTAAGAATAATTCATGTTCATGTATCTTCAATGATGGTCATGTGTGTCTATCTTTTGTTATTTTATTTCTTTTCTTAATAGGTTTCTCTCTTCTCACTTTGAATGTTTCATGCTTATCTCTGCTGCAGTTTTACAAAGATACATCTGGATGATGAAAAAGCCTGATTTTCTTTTTTTTATCAAATACTGCATCAAAGTGAGTTTCATCTTCAGGATGGCTTCATTATGACATTTTCTCAAGAAAGATCCCAGTGAATAGCGAGATAAATGTGAACTAGTCCCAACGTGAACTATGTCTGCCTGTGACGGCACATGACATTATGAATTATCGGACGAGGAATAAAAAACACACCGGTGTTTAAAATTCTCTAATGGTTGGCAAGAAAAAGTTTTTCTTGATTTTTCAAGATTAATTTTTCTTTTAATTATGCTTCTCTACGCACCCTCGAGTTTCCGTTTATTTCCTGCCGTTTTATCGTAAGAGCGAATCTACAAATTTAACTGGAATTTTGTTCTTGCACTCACACTAGGACACTGACGGCAAAAGGCATTATTCCCTCTGAAACAATTTGCTGGACGAGTCCTTCAGACTCTCCCCAATGTCTCAGGCAATTTGCAGCCAGGACTCTTGTTTTTCTTCAGTTCGAGTAATTTCGGTCTGCCGTTCCTCTCGTCCCCTCAAACTAGTTTTTCGGAGTTGGTGAATCAGTTTCATTTCATCCATTCTTGCCATGCACAATTCCTGCCCCAGCCCCTTTCACAAATTAGCGGGTTTTGATCACTGCTCCATCTTCCTCAGAGAAAACCAATTTCATGGAATGGCAGGAGCAATCCGAAATTGGTGAGACTTGCGCCCATATCACTTTCCTGTCATTGCTTTTCTTCGCAAAAAAAATACAATTTAAACTTTTTGAGTCACTCTAGTGGTAAAACGACTCAGGAGAAACGAGGAAGAACTTGGATGGTTAGAGTTAGAGGAGTAATTTCCAATGAAAACTTGTATTACCTGCTGTAATAATTGCAAGATTTCGAAGGGTGGCGCGAATTTTTCCCCCCTGCACTCAGTCTATAATCTCGGGATGGACGGGGAGGAGTATGAGGTGAGAAATCAGTTTTCAAGGTCAGCAGAAAGGCCACCCTTATTTAAAATTTTCATCCATAATAATTAAGACACATGATTTGAAGACTGTAAATAGGACTACTCTTCCCTGATCGATGTGATATGTAGTTCTCACGCGATTCTACTGACATTGTAAAAATGGCAGTTGCGTGCAGATTATGACACTAACATGCTGGAACCAACATTCTTAGTTTTAACAATGATGAGTCCTTTCAGAACTTGGATCACCTCGACCACAAGGTTAGGATTGAAGTTACCCATAAATATAAAAAGGAATTTTAAACTAGCCTTGGACATGTTTAGACAATCGCTGAGACATTTAGTTCAGGAAAGAACCTAATTTTAAGAAAATTGACGCATGTATCAAGTTCTATGCTAATCCAAACTTGATAGGTGATAGCCGTACGAGCCCGCTGATGCGTTTGCCTCAGTCAGTGAAGCAGACGAGTCTGTGCGTGTCTTACCAAAGAGGCAGAGGACGTGGTGGTTTCCCTTCGTCATTGTTTTGATAGCGAAATGTGTGGTCAATTCGAAGAAAATTCACACCTTGTATATGTACTTGTGTAGATCCTCCTCGAGACCTGCTCCGTATGATGCAATGAACTTAAGGGAGGAGAGCCTCCCGCGCTGACGTAACCTCGTCAGCACTAGTTCTCCGTCCCACTTGTCTTTGGACCCGCCTGTGGGCGTTGGCGATCGGGCGAGGGCTGTCGTTCGACTGACAGTGGGATGCACTCGTCCGTCTCCAGAATCGAAGATGGGAGTCCGTCGCGGGAACCGTTGGAGGACGTTGGTCTGACGGAGTCGCTGGTGCACCGTCGAGTGTGCGAGCCAAGTAAGCCTCGAGGGTCTGCAATGGATAGGTTATTCCTGGTTGATCCGGAGTCGCCAGCTTTCGCGTGCTCAAACGCCTTCCCGCACCTCGACACGTGATATCGAAATGGGCGAAATCGCCTCTTGATATCACTAACTCTCCTGACTCCTGAGTCTCACGGACGGAGCAATTCACCAGCCCAGCAGTATCCGAATTCTCGACCCCAGCGACCTTCTGCGAGTGTCATCCGCTCCAAAAGAGATGCTTCGCCTTTCGAATCTCCGGCCTACACGAGGCAGCTTTGCTTACTGTCCCTGGAGATGCATTTACCCGATAGTGTAAATTAAAGCATACGCTCTTGTTCGCCTTTTCTTACGTACGCCTCATCAATCACTGAAGTCCGAAGTGACTTAGAGTAGTTAATACCCAAGAGTCATCGAGAATAGAGTAGGAAAGAGAAACGCTTCGATCACAGTCGAAGATTTCCTTCCGATTACATAGCCTCTGCGATACAAAACGAACACTCACCTTCCTAATTGTTGTCAGCTTTAACACGTCACGTCGGTCACACCTCGTGGCGTCTCCACTACATCAATAATAATTACAGCAGGTTTTTTTTTTGGCACACAGAAGTTCCAAAAAAATTGCCCATTTGTTTTTAGAATGAAGACAGTAACCTTCATATGATCAACCCAATTTATTAAACACTGAATTTGGATAAATAATGGAAGGTTTTTGCCGAATTTGAAGCAAATGCATACCTTTGGTCGCAACACATGCTCAAAACGACTCCCACGTTCTCGGACGCAAGCATGCAGCCGATGACGCCATTCCTGGATTGCTCCATCGATGACGCTCAGTTTCAAATGTCCGGTATTTTTTTCTAATATTTTAAGTTTGAAACGGTGTAGCACATGAAACATTAGGTCAATATCCCAAGTAGCGCAGAAGTGTGGGCCATAAGCGGCCCAGGCACTACACTTGCGGATTTCTGGCAGGATTGGCGGGAACGTGGCGGCAAGTGGGACATGCAGTTGCTGGCCCGCTACCTATTGTAGGAGTAGCATGTAGCTGGCACTCCCCTAGATGCAGTACCAAGAGTCCCCACGAGATGGTACCCTCGTTCCCTGCACCCTATAAATGCAATGAAGTACCTGCCTTCCAGATTCAGCAAAAGTGTTTCTTCTCGTTTTTCTTTTTAATGTGCAATTTATAAACAGATACTAGGAAAGCATGAAATTAAGATGTATTGATTGCAATATAAGACCCGGGGGATTATTAAATGCTGAAGTTAAGTATGGAGATACAGAGTGTACATGACCAGTAGCGTGCCCAGAAAATCATTATGGGAAGATCCCGGCTAGTGTCTACTCCCAGGCATCAACTAATACTCTCATCCCGGGGCCCATTGTTCCGGCAGCGCGAAATTGTCTTTGTGAAGGTGAACGCAGGGTCCTTACCATTTCTGAACTGTCTTTATGAAGACATTCTCTCACTGTTGACTGTTCTCATTCTCTCTTCTTGCTTCTAGCCTCTTCTCTCTGTTCACCAGACTCTCTCCCTAAATCTTCCCCCCTCTCACCAGGCACAGAATGCCTGGTAAGAGGAAGACTCGTAAGAATCGGCCCCCGCCCTCCTCCCCCTCTTCACATCCCCCTGTGCCTACAGCCCCTCGGCCGAAACGTCAATCCTCTCCATCTTCTCATGCCAACTCCAAACCTGCATCCTTAGCCTCCGAATCCATTCGCTCCCTCAAAAGTGCTCCTAATCCGAACGCATCTCTCCGTCTCTCCCCTTCCCATTCGCACACCCAACTGTCCACGCCTGCAAATTCCTCTCTGCACGGTAGCAATTCACCAGTCCCTCCAACTCTTCTTCCCATGCCAACTCCAAACCTGCATCCTTAGCCTCCGAATCCATCCGCTCCCTCAAAAGTGCTCCTAATCCGAACGCAGCTCTCCGTCTCTCCCCTTCGCACTCGCACACCCAACCGTCCACGCCTGCAAATTCCTCTCTGCACAGTAGCAATTCACCAGTCTCCCCAACTCAACCTCAGACAGCCACTAGCAGCTCTTTTTCAAAACTCCCTTTTTGTGAATTCTCTCCCCCGAAACACCAACAGAGGATAGCATTCGTTCGCGCCTTCATGAGTGCCTTCCCTAAGGTCCAGTTGCTCGACATCAAACAAACTCGCTCTGCAGGCTTTGTCCTCAGTCTTGCAAAACCTTCGGACATTGCTCGCGTCGCCAGCAAACGGCCCGAATCAGGGATCGACGGAGAAGCCTTCCCTGTGCGAGCTAGGACCCCGCTTTGCAAATTCGTCCTTAGAAGCGTGGACCTCCAAGAAGACACGAGCGTCATTAGAGACGTTCTCGCCCTTGAATATGGAATTTCGTTCATAGAGAACGGAATCACCAGAATGCGTAAAACCAAAACAGGCGCGCTTCTCCCGCTTCTTATCAATTTAGCAAGCATGATGGATACAACCAATGAGCATGAAACAAATTTTAAACTAGCATTTCTTTATTTCTCAATCTGAGCCAGTAGATCAAGAGAAGTTTCCTCAAATTGACTCAGAAATAAAGGGCCGATTGCATGAACGATGTTTTCCCGGTGTTTTTCGAAAGTCATCGGTTAACCGATGTCTAAGGCGAAAAATGGATTGCATGAACGCTATCTTCCTTTAACCATTGTCTAGCCATCGGCTAACAGAAGCTGAAAAGGTGTCATTTCTAGACAAGGGAAGGGGCATGTTTTGCCGATATTTATGTCAGTGCTCGTGCACTATCTCCATCAGCATAGTACTCCACTGTATTAGTGAAACACAATGGATTACCTTTATGGAGTCGCTCAATATCAGCGATGTGCTCGTCTTCGCATGGGACAAAAAAACATCAGTTCAAGGCCTAATTTCTTTGAAGAATACAACCATGAAAACTTCCGCGTGAGATACAGATTTGGAAAGGCTATGGAGTCGCTCAATATCAGCGATGTGCTCGTCTTCGCATGGGACAAAAAAACATCAGTTCAAGGCCTAATTTCTTTGAAGAATACAGCCATGAAAACTTCCGCGTGAGATACAGATTTGGAAAGGCAGCAGTGGATCATCTAGTCGAAATGCTCCGCCCTGAACTTCAAAGTGAAAAAGTCGTGGAAGGGATCCCTTCACTTTGCATCAACAGGTCAGTAAAGGCAATTACAATTCAAGTGTAATGGGTCACGGTCTCTGCACGAACTTGTTCCATGACTTTCTCTCGAGAGTATTTACCTCATTCCTAGTAGACTTAGTAAAAGTCATTTTCTCTTCTCCCTAGTCATGCAGTTGCGTAACCGAGTAATTGAGTCCCTAAGTAAAAATAATGTTATGAAAGCTATTCAATTCTCAGGTTCTGCTGACCCTTCGATTTTATGCGACGTCATCATTTCAAAGAGTTCTGGGAGATCTTTTTGGAGTCGACGCTTCTACTGCTTGTAGAGTCATAAACCGAGTTTCACAGGCCATTGCGCATTTGCGTCCCCAAGTCATTAAATTCCCAGAAGAAAGAAATCAACTAGAAGTCCAAAAACAATTCTTTGCTGTTGCTGGCTTCCCTGGAGTGATTGACGCCATCGACGGGTGTCATATTCGTATAGAATGCCCTGATATCAACCAGGCGGGAACTTTCATCAACCGCAAAGACTTCTATTCCATTAATGTTCAAGTTCACACACTACGTTCTCCCTACAAATGACTGTAACAACGATCCACCGGTCCTAGGTGAGTGCTAAGTGCCTATAAACGGTTGTCACTTTATATGTTAGCTGAGCAGCCTCCCTTAAAAAGACCTGTATTGATTGGAGACAGTGGTTATTCCTGTGAAACACATATGACGACACCACTGTTAGTTGCTCACAACATTGCTGAAGAGCGATACAATCGGGCCCACAAGAGAACACGCGGAATCATTGAACGAACTTTCGGTCGCATGAAGAGGAGGTTTCCTTGCTTGCACAATGCCCTGAGATGTCGCCTGGATAACACTTTAGTACACATTATAGCTTGTGCTGTCCTCCACAATCTGAGCATTGAATTCAATGATTCTGTCTTTGAAGATGATGGAAATGGCATGAATACAGATAATCTTGATGATGGTGAGAACATGGAAAGTACTCCAGAGAGAAGACTTGCTGCTGGACAGGTGCAGGTAGAGCAAAGAGGGAGCATATCATTGATAATTATTTTACATAACTCAAACGACAAAGATCTGTCGATACTAATTTAGATTAGACACGAGTCCAAACCAAGTTCTTTTATTCTACAGCACTTAACCGAGGTCAAAATACGTCACTCTTTCCGTCAACTGTGGAGGTAACCCAATCCCCATCTGTTCACACTCGTGCTTTAATTTCCATTCTTTCATTTGGAAGATTCGCATCTTGATGTAATGTTCCTTTTGGACCATTTCCAGCAGATGATCATCGAAATCAGCTTTTCTCTTTCTTGCCTTTGGCAGACTTTGTTCTGGATCAAGATTTTCTCTTGATGTCTGCGCTAACCTCTCTGAAGAAGTAATGGCAAGAATTTTCAAAGCCCTAGTTGACATTGGTGTAACTAAAATGCCTATTCGAAACGAATCTGGGAGTAACCAAGTGAATGAATCGGCTTTAATATAAGTGCCATAACTCTTGAATAGCTCTTATTTTCTTTTAGAGTTAAGGGTGTTCATGGGGAATCATTTACGGATTTAAAAAAAACAGGAATTTGAAATGGAGGAAGTACTCATAATCAACATATTGCGTGGGAGCGCAGCGAATCTTATGCAAAACCCTGATAGATTGTGTACTAACCTGTTCGAACTTCCAGAGGTTGCCTTCGCTGTCCGAATCAAACGGATTGTGAAGCGGACTTTTGGCATGAGGAGGGAGCACAACTCCGTTGATATAATTGCTCAACTCATCCATTTCAGGTGGCTTCTCTCCTCCGCCCGTCTTCTTCGCCTCTTTGCGCTGCTGATCGCGATCTTGAGTAGCCTTGACCTTCAATCTGTTCCACAGCCCCTTCAATTGGTCAAGGGATCGGGTGTTTCCGCTGGGGCACGAGGAATTGTAAGCTTCATGTATCTGAAATTATAAATGAAAAAAGCCTGATACTGAGATTTGAAATGCCAAATAGCCTTTTATAGGCGATCGCCCATAGTTTCCTAAGAGCAAGTATAGTATGTATCCCGGGTTTTCCCATCTCGTTATACACTCACTTATAGACCCACTTTTCAGACTTCTAACTTGTCTGTGCATGCAAGTCTCCAAGAATACCCCTGATATAATACATATAAATACAGAGCAGGATCTGAGAGAACTTACCATTTTCCAGGCATGGTTCTTCTTATGCAAGAAGTCTGCATCTTATCTCCTGCTTTCTATCTCTGGATGTTCCTTGACAATCTCCACAAGATGAACTTCATCACCAGAGTAAAAGTTCTCCTTTTTCACTCTTTCGTTCATTTTTTTTCGAAGTCCGAAGGGCCACAGAAGCCGAGAGGTTAGAATATGCTTTATATACACGAAGAACTGTTAGCCATCGTCTAACCATTGGTTATGAAAACATGGCTTGGGGATCGTTCACGCAATCGAAAGTAGACATCGGTTAACCGATGTTTTCGTAGACAGTGTTTAAGCAATGGCTATTGATAATCAACGTCTAAAATAAACATCGTTCATGCAATTGGCCCTAAGTTTTTAAACTTCATATTATGTATATGTTATGTCTTGGTACTCGTAGACTTCTGTTCATCCCTCCAGAAGTCCATATTGAATGTGGAAGAGAGCAGTGGGTCATCTTGGAACTCCTGGGTACTCTTCTGAGTAGGCCCCAGATCCAATATTTATAGGCGAATTAGATATACATGGAGTCATTAGGACCCGGCTAGTGGTACACCACAAACGAGCTAACTAGTAATGTGCTGGCCCTTTGGCGGCCCAGGTGGCGGGCCTGTGCTGCCAGGTGGGACATGTATCTGGTGGTCCACAACCAAGAGAAGTTAGTGGGCCACCACCTACGTGCTACTTGGGTTCCTTCAAATTAGGCAAAAACTTTCTTTATCTACATACAGTTTGTGATATACTGAACCAATCGGATAAAAGTTGCTGTCATTCCTAAAAAAAAAAATGAATCAGTAGTTACTTTTTGGAACACCATGAAGTAGCATTTATCCATCCAAAAGTTTGCAAGTGTTTTAATAAGTACTGATGTAGTAATCAAATGAAAATAACTTCTTGACCTGCTATATGCTCGATAAGTCAAAAGCCTAGGATTTGATAGCTAAGAAATGTTGGACCAGAATGAATACAGTTTACACCAGTGATGAGCAACCTTCTTTGACTGCAGGCCACAAAAGAAGCTTTTAGGTTCCCAGCAGGCCACATGTATTTTTTTTGTTACTGAATTACAGGCTTCATGCTTGTTGAGTACCAGCATAATCCTAAGCCTGGCTTAGTACCTGGTACTAAAAAAGTAGATGCTAATGATATGCAAATAACTAGAGAATTTTTTATCACCTTTTTACTGAGCAAAATACCAAACAAGCTGCTTTCTCAGAGAGCAATGATACACTAAGCACACATGCACTCTACTCTGGATGGCAAATGAAAGGAAAAAAATTCCGTTGGCGAAGTGCCGCAGGTTGCTCATCACTGCTTTACATCATTTGAAAGGCAAAAAATCTTTATCTAGAATATTGTATTATTTGTAACTTTCCTTTTCTCTTAAACAAAAATAAATAAATAAAATAAAAACAGAAAATAGGCATAGAATATGTAAAAAAAAGCAGCCAGATGAAATATGAATTCTACATTTGCAAGAACTCAGGATTCAAGTTACATCATATTTTTTCCTTCTCTGGATCACTAACCTCACTGTGGTCATTAAAGGGGCAAGGAAAATGAAGATATATGGATTTTAGTACAGGAAGACTTCCATTCCATTGGAGGGTGACTAGCAGAGAGGACATTCCAGAAAGGGACAACATGGGGAGGAAATGTCTCATTTCATGTAGATCTTGTCAAAGACTTTCACAAGATGTGTACAACATCAAAAACTTGTCACTGGTACCTACTTTTACTGTTAAGATGAGGATTTAGAAAAATACCAGAATTCACCAAGGAAAATAGATAAAAATCCATTTAATTGCAAGTGACATTCACCTTATTTTGCAACTCTTGTAGAATGGTAAATGTAGGCAAGGGCACTAACCTACCATCATATTGTATGCCAAGTCTCCATAATAATGCAGCATCACTCCCAAGGAGTGTATCAACAGGACATACCAGCTAAATGAAAGTGTCAATGTTAGTACAGGCAGTCCTCACACTTACGACACTATTGGTTCCTGAAAATCACGTCATGACGAAAGTCAAAACACAGTTAAATGCAAGCAAAACAACAGTTTTTCACACCCTAAATGGTGTCGTAACAAAGACTGAGTGACTGAGTCAGGTCGTAAGTGCGGTGCATCATAAGTCAAGGACTGCCTGTATCAATTACCAACTCTCAGTCACTTCTCACTTTTTTCCAGTTCCTTTGTTTTGAGTCTGACCACATTGAAACTGCAATAAGGCCAGAGGTCCACAAGTGTGGTGATTAAGAAAAACTCAACCTAACTTTACATCATTTTTGGGAAATTGTTTCTATTCTGTAAGACTTCTTAAACTGCAAAATTCAATTTTTGAGATTTCAAGTAGGTAAGGCTTTCATAATATTTTACATGTATTCATAAGTTATTATCTCACAAAAGACACTTCATTAAAGCTTTCTTAAAACTTTTATGGAGTATCTTTCCTCATTTTCCTTCCACCTAATTGGCAAAATGATTATAAAGCAAAATCATTTACCAGTATATCTCAAGTTTCACATTAATTTCCTCTGTGTATTCTCACTTCGAACAATTCAAAATTAAAAACCTCCCAAGTACTCTACAATAATTATCCAATACATAACATATATCCATCATACCATCACACACATGTCCATGTCTTTAAAACAATTCAGCAGAAAATCATCAGGTACTGCAGTGTGTCAGAAACAGCCCATGAGCTATGATGAATCTCTTCAAAAATGTTTTTTGTTACCATTAGTCAAGTAAGAGCAGACAAATTACCAACATTTAAAGATTTTTGTTACTCATGGGGGAAAAGGAAACTGATATGGACACAAACAAAACATAGCTTCTCTTCAAGTATATGACCAGAACATACAAAATGAAAATGAAATAATAAAAATAATTAGTTTGATAATGGAGCGGAGATGAGAGTTGTCACCATGCTACATCATCATCATCTAAGTAATGGATCCCCTTTGGTTTCTTGGTGGCTGCCTCTTGTTTCCTGCTGCGTGATGAGGCAGCAAAGGAATCATGCAAAGACATCTGTCTCTGGCTACTGGTTGATGGCCGAGTGGAGACATTGAGTTGAGCAGCTCCTGTTTGCCTGGCCTGTGCACTCCTCATCCCTCTCCCTCGGGATGAGTTCTGAAAGCAAATAAAAAACAGCTTCTTTTCTTATTCATACCACTATCTAAATAAGTTTCAGTTCTTTGCTTATGGGTCTAATGACTAGTTTCTGATTTCAGTAATTTTTCCCCAAAATTCATCCTTGATGGGCTCATTCTCCTATCATGTCCATTCCCTTCTCTCAACCTGAAGTGTCACATGCAACACAAATTTCTTTATCTATTTGATTTCTTACAATGGTGGAGGTAGGGGGTGGGAAGGAAACCACATTTCTTGACATAAGAATGCAGACACAGGAAGTAAAAGGGGAAGTAAAAAAAAAAAATGTTAACATCACAGTATTCTAAAAAAGATAGTATGCACTGAGCTGTACAATATAAAAAAAAGAAGCCTGAAGTACAGTGCATCTTGGTAGTAAAGAGCAAGAGAATACTCACCCCAATGAGGCTTGCAAAAAAATTGCATAGTGAACCATAAAAAAATCCAATTGAGGTGTAATGTCATCTTTGAAAAACTATTCTTACACCCTCTCATTTTTACACAATTTGCTTTCTTGATATGTCATTCTTGCCCTAAAAATGAAAGTTGGTTTGGAAATTTTTTTTTTAATCTAGTACCCTTATAACTGGACTAATGTAACAGTGGAACCAACACTTTCTGCATTAGAGAGAGATTTGTTTCATTTTATTTCTGTACAAGTATTGTCTATAGTATAACTTTGATGAGATGCCAGAGGGTGGTCTCTGAGAAATACACAAACTAGAAATACAAAAATAGACCTTGCTGGGGGAAGCATAACTAGCTTTGGCACGTCCCCTGCCCCTTCCTCTGCCTCGCCCTCGTGCTGGAGGGCTTTCCTCCACTTCAACCTCGTCATCTGATTGAATGTCATTCCCTTCTCCCTCACTTTCCACTGATTGATCTCTGTGGGCAGGCTGACGGGACTTGTCATCTAAGGTTGTCCTCACCTGTGCATTCAAAGAAAAATTACATGACTCTTGCAAATGCACTTTTCAACTTACCAGGCAAATACAAAGTAAGGTATATAGAAAGGAGATTTGGCCATGAAAGAAAAGCATAAACTCTGATATAATGCATGCTGATTTTGTCATAAAGACTTAAAAGTCTCTCTGAAACTCTGAAGATAAAGGTTTGCTTCCAGTATGTCAAGAAAATACCTTTTTAGGGTCCAATTCCTTCGATGAACCTCAACCCAGAGAACTCCTCTTCATGCAAATCATAGGTTTATTAGGTAGAATAAAAAGGGAAAAATGAAATGAAGTAAAAAAAATGGAAACTAAAATGCAAAGTTTGAGGCAGCACTTCAATTATGCAGTTGAATTGCCTTCAACCCTCCATGAGCAGAGAGAAGTCTGACATGTTATAGTGCTCTAAAACACAGTCCACCAGTAAAAATTGATGAAGGTCAAAAGAAGTAAGGAAAGAAATAAGGTCTTTCTCCACTACTGAACCTCGTAACACAACCTTTTTCCCCACTAGGTAATTTTTTCAGGTTTAGTGCAGTCAGGGCTAGTTTGGCTTTCATGGTTACTCCTCCAGTGGGAAAGATTTGGTCTACAATGGCACCATCCTAGCAAATCTGATCCAAGAGCGATATACCACCTGTTTCTGACTTGATCTGTAGCTATCCACCTGAATTAGAGATTTTCAGATATGACATGAGGTTGTTGAAAGGAATAGTAATGTCAAATGCGAAGTAAACCAAATGGCAACAGAAGAGATAAAATGACAAGCAGAAAGTCCATCTCTGGTTACATGATCAGTTCCTTTTCTAGATTTAGGATTGAACTTCTATATTGCACAAGTAGCTCTAATTCTCACTTCAGTGCAAGATAACCTAGAAGGGAGGTTTCTGTCATGGTAACTGGGATAATTTGAAGAAAAATCTGTATACTTTTCCCCTAGTTTTTTTTTTAATTCATTCAGTCTGACTGTATCTGATCTGCAAGTTCAGTTTAAAATCTTTTTTTTTTTTTACTTCCCCTTTTACTTCCTGTGTCTGCATTCTTTCAGGTCAAGAAGTTATTTTCATTTGATTACTACATCAGTACTTATTAAAACACTTGCAAACTTTTGGATGGATAAATGCTACTTCATGGTGTTCCAAAAAGTAACTACTGATTCATTTTTTTTTTTACATATACAATCCAACAGCTCATCTCAATCTCCCATCTAGAAACAACTGATATCCCCAATCATAGAACCCCATCCAAACCATGGTTTACCCAAATCAAAATTCATCTCTAATCATGGATCAGCACTACTCTCATTCATTTTAATCATAAAAGAAGATAGCATAGCTTTGGTTGGAAGGACATACTTCATCAACATCCTGTTTGCTGGAGGCTCTTGCCTGCCGATAGCAAAGTATGTCTTCTTCCACTTCACCTTCATTCTTGTTTTCTTTTGCCAGAAAGTCCAGGGTTTTCTTCAGCTGATGTCTAAATACAGAAGAGACACCAAAAGAACTAATGAACTTCAAAAATTTGCACGAGTACCTTTCGACTCCCTGGCTCAAAACCTGATCCTATGTTCTTTTCATGGTATTTGGTAATGGCTAGGAATAGTCCCTTGCAAGCCTTCACAGTAGATGTCAAGAGAACTGTAAGTCATGGTTAACAAGGCTATGGTAGAAGGAATAAACAAGGGGAGGGCCTGTCTGTGCCCTGTCATTGAGCCATCTGCCTAGGCAATAAGTCTCTGCTACTGAGGGTACAGGTAAAAAATGTGCATCTATGTTCAGGTCACTAAACAGTTCAGGAGCCTAGACCTAAGAATGATAACCCAAGACATTGTTCCATTCATGGAAAAATCCAGCAGGTATGGCAGTGCAATGCCTTGGCTAAAGGGGGCCATGCACTATTTTGTTATTTTCTTAGTTGAGTCTTGCATCAATACACATTCTTGACTCTATCTGCTTTGCATCAGTGCATAAAACTTTTCAGGAAAAGGCCTTCTTGCAGGCAATTTCTTCATGGTCACGCATGCCTGCCTAAAATTGCCCTGGATGTAAACAGGATAAGAGTTAACTCTCTGCATGCCAGAACTATTGATGTGCTGCAGCTCCCCAGCAAAAAGTTCAGGCTGGAAATATTACTAGTTTTATCCAGTTTGTGATGGACTTCTTTGGCAGGTGGATTGTGTGCAGGAAACATACCAGGTTCCAATAGGGAATTAGATGCCAGGCATTTTCTGACAGGAAAAGCAGAAATCCAGCAGAATACAGCATGGGATCCAGTTGGATCATGGTGGTTCATTCCAGCTGGAAACAGCATACCTATTTACGGCTAGTTCTGGTTGGAAACGCTTCAGTTCCTGCTGGAAGTGGCACACATTTACTGATGGAAAACTTGTTGTTTCTAGCTGGAACTTTTTGCTGGGTCACTTTCCTGGTATTCTGACAGTGTTATCAAATGTGAGTTGTGAAAAACAGTAATAGCAAGAAAGTTTATGTGCAACTGAGAGTAGATCAAAGGGAGAAAGCATTAAGGAAACAAAACTGACAAATCACAGGGGTGGGTGTCCTTGGAATTACAGATATCAAAATGATGACTTTCTATCAAGGAGAGGAGTGATGGTTGAACCAGCAAACTGATTTCAACAAAAGAGCAGCTGCACTCAAAAATATGACCTAATGAATGCCAGAGTTGATTTAAACAGAAAGTTACAGAGAGCATGAGGCAAATGCAGAACTGTTTTGGCAATTCTGAAACAAACCATTCCCTGGAGAAATCATTGAAATGGCTGCATTCAAGGTAAAAACCAAAACAAGTACTTGATTTCACAAACACTGAATATTCAGGTCCTACAGCAATCAATTAATATCCCATTTCAAGGAATAGTTTGTTCAACTGAAACTGTTCAAAAGCACTGAATACTAAGCATAAAAATTGCACTTTCTTACTTAGTGAGGACAGTAATGGCATCCCTGTCATCTTTCTCGACAAAACGAAGAACAGCTTCTGACATTCCCCTTTCAGTGAGAAGATGGAGCTTGTTCTTTGGGTCTTCATTCTCAGCAAAATATACTTCCACCATGTTCTCCACACGCACATTGCTTAACTCCTCTGGCTGCATATAACATAAGGAGAAAGAGGGTATGGTATAGGGTGACTTCAACTGACTCAATAGAGAGGAATTGCTAAAAAAAAAAACAAAAAAAGGCAACAGATTCAATACAATACACAACCATTTTGTGATGTCACAAACTACCAGTCTTTTTTTTTTTTTAGAATTGTGTATGATCCCTTCATGAATATACCAGGTGGTCCAAAAAAAAGTCCTGAACTTCATGTGTCTGTAGACAGGACACCATATTAAGTATTGTCTTGAAATTTTCAGTGTGTCATATCCAATATGAATAGGTAGGTTCAGGAAATTTCAGTGAAATTCCCTGCTCTGAAAATGAGTAAGATCCCTTTCTGTACAAGTTGTTAAATGAGATCAGTGCATTTGTCTTGAGTGCTGCCTCAGTGGGTGATCACCGAAGGACAACACATTGATGGAGGACCCATCAAACATTTCTTTCAATGAGGTCAGTCACATTTCTTTGCACACTCACCCTTTTGGCATCACACAGGAGAAAAAGCATTACTCATGTAGTTAACTACCAATTTCATTGGATTTTTTGTGACAGTACCTGCAGATATTGCATGTAAAACCCTGTAAATTTCCTGTCAAAATCTCATATGGTGTTGCATCTGCAGGTGTGTAAAGTGCTGGACTTTTTTTTGGGCCACCTAGTATATCCAAACTTTTGAGAATCCAATTCATTACATAAGTAATGACAGCTCAATTTCATTAAAATATCAGCTGAGAAGGTCCTGAAGTGAAAGCATCTCTTGCATATGTTGAATTAAATGCTATAAAAGAATCTTCTGAGTATAAAGGAATGAAAACCTGAAGGAAAAGCTCAAAAGCTCTGTTATGTAAAAAAAAAAAAAAATACTTAACAAAAAGTTCTCACATCCATGTCAAAGAGTTCATCCATAGCCTCAAAGTCCAGGTCTTCCTTTGGCTGGTTCTTGATATGTTTCTTAAAAATGATCATGTCCTCTGGATTGGCAACCTTTCCTTGGTATCTCTGGCCAAATCGAATGGTATGGAAGGGTTGGAAATGATTATCATATGTCACCCGGAGTCGTATCAATGGCACCTTTGGTTGACGCTCATTTCCTGTCAACAAAGAGGGGAAAATACTCTATATTGTTCTATGGCCTCCTTAATAATCTAAAATATATGCAATCTCATCTCTGGTAACATGTCTGATCTCTGATGAGAATTAATTTTTAAAATATTTTTGCAAAGATATTAGCAATATAGATTTTTATCCAGGGCTTTGGAATGGAAATTTTTCCATTACATGTTCCTTCCAAATCCTCTGTCACTATGTCACCCAGTCTCTGTTCCATTCAATGCTTAATTCTATTCAGAATTTCACATTGTGAAATTCTGAACAGAAGCACAAACTTATCAAGATACCTTTCTGTAAGAAAAATGAAATGGGGAATAAAGTTAATTATAAGAAAGTTGGGAAATGTCACAACACAATTGTAAGAAAAAAAAATTAGGCCAAACATTTTTGAACAGAAAAGCTTCTCTTTTTCAAAATGAGAGATTTTTTTCAGTTCCAGTTTTTTGCTCCACTACCATCAGTAAATATTTTCCATGTTTCATTCTGTTCCATGCCATTTTTTGTTCTGTTCTAATTTCCATTCCACTTCCACTCCCAGGTTCCATAAAATCAATGTCAGGCAACATTAACCATTCAGGTGATTAGGGCATATATATGTCGTAGGGTTTTGTGGAATTCAGGGGGATTTCGAATCTCCCCAGGGAGAGACAGGATTCCCCTAAACCCGCAGGTTTAGCGGAAACCTCTCGAAAACCTCCATTATGTCACCTCCCCCTAGGGGGATTCCAATCACCTGGATTAGCTGCCAATGCTTCCATCATTTTGTTTACACCTAGGGAGAAAGAGAATTATCAAGACACCCGGGGGAAATGGAATTTCATTTCAGTCCATGTATAGAAAGAAAAAAATCAACATCAATAAGATTTGAAGCGGAGTCAACAATAAACTTGTCTTATTTTGGGAGGTTCCACGGCTTTCCCACCTGAAACTTGGATGAGCATGTTATGCCTAGTTTTTTTTACAGCTGCACCTGTTGGTGCGACAAGACTTGTTGCACTTGCAGATGGATCCTGCACCCCCACTGGCATAGCCTGTTTCTGCCCTCGAAGCCTTCGCCTTCGTTGATGCAACCACTGTCTTCCAAGCTTCTCTTTCTTCATTAGTGGAAGGCAGAATCAGGCATGGCATTCTCACTGATAGCTATAACACGGTATTATTCAGCCTTAAATAATCCGTCAACACAAATGAAAGGAGAATTGCCCTCGACGGGACAAGCCGTGGGAAGGGTAATTTTCAATTCAGGGAGATATGGAATCTCCCCATGTTGTAGTGACATTGACATGACTTCGAGAGGATTCCGCTAAACCCGCGGGTTTAGCGGAATCCTGTCTCATCCTAGGGAGATTCCAAATCCTCCTGAATTCCACAAAACCCTACGACATATATATCCATGCTGAATTGGTCCACACCTACTTATGGTGCATATATCCATTTTCTTCAATAAATTTTAATAGATAATGACATTTTCCAATAAATTCCAAACAAGTTTTTGAAAGAGAGGAATTTACTATTGAACATTTGAAAAAACCTAGCAATATAGGGAATGGCATATGGAAAAACACCAAGCTATTGAGAGGCCAAGCCAAGCATTCAATAATTTTCAGAACTCCAGCATGTTCACACTCTCAAGGTATGAAATGTGAGTAAAATATAGCTCAAAGTGAGATTATCCTTACTCAGAACTTACTAGTAAGTAGTTCTTGAGACTTCTCAATCATTTCATGAATTTTCTCCTCCACTTTCATCTCAACCATTTCTTCAATGTTTTCTGCCACATCTTGAAGCTCATCACACTCTGACAATATGAACTAAAAGAACAATGAACACATTCAAAAAGTTCATTTTAAAAATAATTATCAGCAAACCTAGCTTCATACCTGCACTATAAAGCAGTGAAACCATGTCTTATGAATGGTTAGCTATATGACCATAAAATCTTGAAACTACCCTGTAGATATGGAATTTTTACCTAAACCTTAACATTTGAAGGCAACAGTAACAGTAAGCAGTAAACTACATTCAAACTGGAAGTTCTGCCATGTTAAGATGGCAATTTTTCAAAGTAGCAGAACAGCTTTATGCTTTTAACCAAAAGTACTCCAGAAAAAAAAAAGTACTTCCCCTTTTGCTCTATTTAAAAAATTAGCAAAATGGGCAATTTACAGTTTTAACATGAAAGCAATTTTATTTACAGATATTTAATGGTTGACTTGATTTTCTTCTTTATAGGGTGTCAGAATTTACACAAAAGACGTTCCACAAATTATTGGTGTTTTGCATTTTTGAAATCTCATTATCATTCAAGCATACAAGAGGATGATGCCATATATCTTCTTGAGAAGCAACACAAAAAAAAGCTTGCAGCAAAATTATGAACATAGCAAAAGAAAATACATATGCCACAAAACACAGTTGAACAAACATGTTACAGATGTAAACTCATTACCAAACCAAACTACTTTCCAAAAGCTATAAATCATGGCAACATTAAATGGTGCATCAGCTCTTACAGTCAAGAGGAAGTGTTAATGTGCATTGTTGCACCTAGCATGACATTGAAGCACAATGGGTATGTAATTCTCCTCCATATGGTTTTCATTGTGAAGGCTATGTCAAAACCCAACAACAAACCCATGTCCAATAGCATCCACTTTTGTAATTGGTGTCATTACATTGATCTCAACTGGTGCAGTAAAAATGTCCATGGCCTTGACCCAATCAATCAGTCAGAAAAATAAAAGTAATAAGTAAGGAATAATGCATTCTGACATTCTCTAAAAAATAATTACATGAAAGTGCATTGAAGGGTTCACTTGGCATTATAGACAAAGTGCTCTATGATGGTCAATGCATTTCTTTCCCCAGCACTATATGCTGAACCTTTGTTCAGTAATGCATTTCTATCATGGCACTAAGATGCCTCTGAAAGTCATTTGTGGCTCACTCATCCCTTGAGGATGATTTGGAGACAACTTTGGGACATATTTGTTTGTTGTGAGGGATATTTTACAAGGGACACTGAACACCTGTCCATGAGGACTTCACTTTTGCCCAATAGACCATATTGATTGACCATAGCCTTTCCCCATAACCCAATATCAAACATGGTCAATCTGGATTACACCCAGATATCAGGCAATCCTACAGTTGATATAGTTCATCTAGGATTCATATATGGCTTCACCCAGTCAATAGAAACATCTGAGTTTACACACGAGATCATCATATATTCTGAACAGACCTGAATATAAGACAATTCCCTAAAATGTTACTTTCAAATTTCCTTGAATCTATTTTAGGGTCATGTCTTTGAACAAATGATTATGGACCACATCTATTATTTTTATTATCCAGCTGCCCTTTCTATTGCTTCCATACAGGGGAAAGGGAAGTCATTCTGACCATGTCTCTCACATACTTCCCTTCCTTCCCCAAGAAACCAAAGAATGCCCATTTTCAGTTATTTTCTTCCTCATATTTTCCATAATAAAGCAGGTCCAAAAATGAAAGCAGCAGTGGGGCCTACCCTGATACCCTAAGAGCAGATATAATGCCATCACAACTCCTACTACATGAACAAGCTCTACATTACCTTGTAAAATTTCTTTTGGACACTAGTATATTTTACTGTATGCTGCAAAATTGCATTTAAAAAGGAGCAGAGACAAAAATAACCAACACCTGGCTCATCTATGCACACAATCAAGCTTTTAGTATCTCCAAACTAATATGGTATATACTTAAAGCATAAAGATGGGATGATAGAGAACTCAAAGTAATTTGACTTGGAAGTCAAGAGGACTGTTGATGGGTCTTCATCAAACAGCATGCCTTTTTTTTTGGCTACCTGGTACAATGAGGAGCAAAGGAGTTAAGCTTATTCATATACACATCTCCTCACATTCATATTCACAAATCCCCCCGTCCCCTCTTGCTCAGACTGGACTCCCTTTGCTCCGTATCCCCACTCCTCTTGGACTTTCAGTTTTCTAATTGAGACTCCCCTTAAGTGCACACATTCATCTCTTCATTCTCTCAGCTTACACTAAACCCTTGAAAGAATTTTGTTTTTCTGGATAGCATAAAATGGTAAATCAAAATTTTCTCTTTGGAATGAGATGATAAAGGAGGGGATACTGTTACTTTTTAGCAGATCTGGAAGATTGATAACCTGGATGACATAGTCCAGTCCCCTGAAATTTTGGTCGATGAGACATTTATAGGGTGGTTAAAAAAAAATGCTATGGGAGAAACACAGTTTCATAAATGCAGCAAAAAAATTACATTGGATACGCAATTAATATTTGACAGTTACAAGGTGTTGAAATGCTTGCCAGCTTTTTTTCAGCATCCCTGTCTAAGTCGTGCAATGCCCATTTGGAGGTGAATTAATGATGCTTAGAGGTGGATCATTCCACCTCAAGTGATATGATTACCTATGCTCGACCGTCTCAGAACTCAATGAAATTTTCAACTTTAACTTTTCAAGAGACAGTTGGATCCAGCTGATACTTGACTGAGAGGTTTATGATTCTAAGAGGTTTTTTTTCACTTTCGCAAGATGGCACTGTATCATGATAGTGGGTGCTGTTGCTGATCAGGTGACTGAGGGTGATTTAAAAAAAGGTGTAATGCTCCACCTGTAAACATAATGGAGGATGCATACTGCTGAAAGTCAAAACTCACATCCTCCATGATGAAAGGTCTCACTGTTTCAAGTGGGATCTGGTCACATTTGAACCGTCTGGCATGAATTTGGAGTAGATTGATATGCTTGGGCCTGGCTTCCCCTTCACAGAGTGAGGTCACCACTGAGCTACCTGTCATTCATAAATGGGCAATGCTATCATTCTCACTCAACATGGAATCATATGGGAAAAAAATCATGCCTCTGTTGATGATGCAAAGCCTGAAATGTTTGGATTGGAAGTCCAGCTAATGAAAATCCAAAATAACATGAATTCAAAAGGCAGCCAAAATTTTGATGTGGAGTATGTTGAACATATGCAAGGATTTATAGCTTTCAATTTGAAAAATCAGGAGAAACTTCACAAATTTTTGTTGACTTCATTCTAGTTTTCCTCATGACAATGCATAATTCAACCTGGTCTTCAAATAGACTTTTGTTTAATGACTAAAAGCACTAAAAGGAGAGTATATTCATTTCAGCTTAGCCTCTTATATCCTTTCAAAGTACAATCTGAGATAGGACTTTGTCAACATCATCCAAGAATCCTAATCAAAACTGCGAATGAAAGATTAAAGCAGATGTAAAAAAAGAAACAATAAAAAGAGCAGATTGACCTGGTTGCAATATGAATGTTTTATTAGCTGTGAATGTTGGCTGTGGGATGCACTCGTGTTCATGTCCCCAAATGACCAGGTCAAGAAAACCAGGGAGGAATGTTTCAGGCAGATAATTCTTAGGCCCATGCTTTGCTCTATTCTGATGAAGAACAAGGATGTTGAACCATTCATCTGTCTTCAAGCGTGGTCGCTTGAATTGCACCTGTCAAAACATAGGCACAAATTGTGTAGTTGTGAAATTGTGGGCTTCCTCCAGCTGATAGCTGTTCAATGTCAGGAACAGCAAACTTATAGCCCCTCACAAATAATGTTACTGCAGCAGACTTATATGAACTGACTGATGATATATTCCACTTGCTGCACTGATTTCAAGTAAGTGCAAGAACACAAGAACAGCAGCATACAAGATGTGAACCAGTGCACATAGGTTGCATGGAATGCTGGGTATACCTAGGGCAGCTGTGCTGCTTCTGAATCTGAGAATGTGGATGAAAGTGCTAGACCCAGACATTGACTGGAGCTATTGGCTTCGTTTTTCTCCTCACTTGCCATGTATTTGCAAACCATGCAGACCATGTATTTGCAAATAAAGTGACAAAGCAAGAGTTTTACATACAATATTAATAGAGTAAGAGGGTGCAGGAGACCTTCCACTGCCTGCAGAGCTGGTGTAGGCAATGAAACTGAGGTGCATATGCACCATATGAGTGAAATATTGAGCACCATTGACTGGACCTACACCTTATGCAAGTTAAACATGAAAGTACATTAGAGCACTGTAGATAGTACAAATTGAGTCTACAGGGTGAATCAAAAGTCCAGCCCACCTTATGAACATCGATAACTTTGAAATACCAGACTGGATTGTGATCCAGTTTAGAACATTAAGGAAAGCAGAAATATCCTCTATCTAGAGACACATTTTTGCTTTTTTTGCTGATAGGATTCTTTTCTTATTGAGTCATAAATTAAATTCCCTTTTTTGGGGTCCTTTTAATGTATTTACTCCTGAAAATGTGTTTGTGCATTGTAGCCTCTTGATGCCAATTCAAAGAAACTTGAGAAAAATTACTTAGTAGGTGACTCACTATCTGTAAGCCTTTAACAAATGTTCAGCTTTACTCCATATCAAGTCAGAACACAATGGAAACTGCTAGACTATTCCATTAAAAAATATATGGAGGAACCCTTAGCCACAAGTCAAACATCAGTATTGATTATTATTAACATGGTGGGAGAAACAGCAGACTTGTCCCAATTTGGAGGTCCATGGAGTAGTTGCTCTGAAAAAAAATTTGAATTGGTCAACAGGAAGACTTATCAAACACTTTGAAAGTGAATGTGGCTTGTGACAGCAGAGATTCCTCAGCATCAGTCAAATGAATAAAAGCAAATCTCAAGGTAATTATTTTGAAGAGATGTTCTTGATGGTAATGGAATAAAAGTGCATTACAGAGAAATTTGTTGGGTTTCATATGATTCAAGCTGCATAGCCATCTGATTACTAGTTCCTGAGTTATTACTGGGCAAAAGGTGGGCAGAACTTTTGATTCACCCTGTATAGTGCAGCACCAATGCAACATGTGGAAGACACCATAAGTGTTAAGAATTTTCACATATACATACATTCCTACATAAGACCATCCATCCCAACTTAACCCCTTGAACACACCAGAAAATAAATCTAAGCACACCCCTGACACACCGACTTTTCTGATAATATTCATGATTTATTTTATAAACGAAGAGTTATTTGACAGATTGGCTTATTTTGTGTCTACTTTAGCTCTTAGCTTAGAAGTTCTACAAGCTTTTGCAGTATTTCTGGAAGCAGTTCTTCATGTGTAAGCCCACTCCAGCACTGGCAGAACTGCCATCTCCGCCATCTCTGCCGTTGCGTCACCACGCCCATCATTGTTGTCACCCGAGTCACCATAATAATTTTCTGAATGCCCGCTAACATCTTCTCTTGAAAAGTCACTTGAAGACTCATTCAGAATTACTCAACTCATATTCAAAGTCAAAATCGTTCTCACGCAGTAAATTACTGACCAAATTTTCTTCAACACCACGTTTTCCCTTCCTGCACGACACCATGACTGATTATGGGGAGAGTGCAACAGACAGGATACTTTATCTGCAGAAACTTTTTCTGTGAGCTTTAAACCGGAAGGCTGTACTGGTACAATATCTGCCAAATATCAGAGAAATGACCAGCCATGATGCAGATGTCACATCAAGAGTGGTGGCAGCGGGAAATTTTGATATTCGCATGACGTACCCGTATGTGTCGTGTGTATCAGGGATGAATGTGGCCCATGACACATATGGGTGCTTCATGTGTGTTCAAGGGGTTAATGGGGTTACAGCTGAAGCATGCCCTTGGGTGCATCCAATTTCATGAATCCTGATCAACAGACTCAAGCCCAGCAGGACTGAGCCTTGTATAACAAAGTTTTACAGCATAGTAATTCCATTTTGTGGGAGGTCTACCATCTACTTTTATGCTTGTCACCTTGGACTGAGAGACCCTTTCAGGGAATCTCACAAGAAGCATGCAGCAATATGTCCAAACCACTGGATTTGAGGTCTATGTGGAGAAATAGCTTTTCAACCAATAAGTTCCCATAGATCAGCAGTTGCCAAGCTTTTCCTTAGTGTAACCCCACTCAGACAGCTGCAAATACTTGCAACTCCAACCATCATGCACAAACAAGATCAACAACATTGGCCTGTTGAAAATATGACATTATAAAAAATGCTTATAAATCACCCTGCATATAGCACAATAATAAAAATCACCCAGCATGATGGCTTGGTGACCCCATTTTTTATCCTCACCGGTTTCCTTTTTTTGTCCTCCCATGTTGATGAATAAAAGCCAAAACAACTGAAAATTGACATTTTTCACTCCTTTTAACTCTTACCTCCTTTAAAATCCCTCACTATCCACTTTTCATTGTGCTTCACTATCCGCTTGTCTGTTACAACATGTTCTACTCATATGCTACGTGATGTCACTTTGAGGGTTGCTTTGTCAAATCACACAGCACAGATCATTCTTGATAAAATGGAGCCAGTCTATTCCCAAGAAAACAGACTGGTTCTGCTTGGAGTATACAATACTCCTTAAACACTATAACTTGAATCTTAGTGGCTGCATTGAGAGGGTTTCAACTCAATATGCATTATAAAATGCCAGCTATTAGTTGAGGTGAGGGGTGGTCAGTTCATAGGGGTTCAAAATGCATTAACCTCATGGGAATAAAATTTCATTCCACAAAAAATGGTCATTTAGAGGGGTGGTCAGGAAGAGGAAGAGGGATTTCACTGTACCTTTCCCTCCCGAAAGAGTCGGAAGAGACGCTCATCCTTGACAGCACTGAGGCCATATATTCCTAGGAGAGACTTCCCTTTCCTCAGCAGTATTGGAGTCAACTCAATTTCAGTGAGATCCAGTATCTTTCCAAAGTAATTGACAAGACCAGCAGCAGAGAGTTCATCCATTGCACTGTATTGGTTCTTCCCTAGAATAGAAAAATTGAGCTGATATAAAGGACTACTTAATCCATTTTGCTCATTTCAAGAAGCAAGAACATCAATATGCATGCTCATATTATTCTTCATTTAAATGCACCAGTATAACTTTTAGCAATAAGTTAGGTTCAAAACCCAGACTCTTTGGGCTGATTGATGAATACAGTATTAACTCACTGCAGTTGTCATATATTGTACCAAAAGGGATATCAGGGTTTTGAAAATTTCACAGCAAAAGAGTTAAAGACATTCTACTTTAACCTTAGCCTATCCCCATGCAATGTCTATGGGAGTGGTTCCCAAACTGTGATGTGCAAGACAATGTCAGGTGGTACACACGAGGTTTCCAGACCTATTTTTTTAAACTTATAAAATAAAGTATAAGTCTTATATACTTTGTGGAATATGCATATGTGGGACAAGTGGTGGTATGCCATGTATGCATCCTAAAACCATGAGGTACAGAGGTCAAAAGTTTGGAAATTGCAAGTCTATGGGTTTTGATCATTCACTTTGACTCTATTCATACTATACTTTCACACAATGAAGGTTGCCAATAAGATTAACTGAAATTATGAAAGTGCATCTGGATCAGTGATATGAAAATGCAAGGAGAAGGCAGCCACTTGGTATTGCCATGAGGGTCAATAAAGATGGCTATTGCATTTGACTTTATGCTCTATTTTTTTAAGTCCAGCAGCCAGCACAGCAGTCTCAGATTTTCCCTACCCCCTTAGCTGCGTAATTTTGTTCTGTTAATTCTTCTCCCACTGAATTTTCTTTTGTAAGACTACAGCTGTGTTTGGCATATTATGAAGACATAGAAGGCATGTAAGGGAAAATAATATTATACCCTGCAGAGCTAAGAAGTTAACCTGCTTTTGGCTTTGCCAAGAAAGACTTCATTGAATAATTCTCATGTCACAATTGAAATTCATGTCTCTATTTACTCTTTGGAAAATCTATTAACCCCTTAACTGGGAATATCTATAGCAGTAGTCGGCAATTGGCAGCCCGTGGGCCAGATCCAGCCTGCAGAAGCCCTCCCTCTGGCCCGCGAAGACCCAGATATCAATATCTGACTATAGACGTTCAGTAAAATTGTCATTTTAGTGACACTTGGTAGGTGCTGACTCATGAACATTCAGCATTCTGCCATCTGGCCCACCGTGAAATTTAGTTGCCAACCACTGATCTATAGGCATCATGTCAAAATTTTTACCAGTTGGGAATGATGTCTCTAGGTCTTATCAACTTTTGAATCCTTATGACAAACTTAATTCCAACAATAAATATGAGGTCTGGCAACAAAGTTCCAGGACTGATTTTTTTGTGAGTCTGTCAATATCACAAAAATTATTTTCATTCCATGGACTAATAGATTAGACCGTTGGGCAGTGTCGTTTCAGTCCTCATCTAACTAGCATCTTGAATGATAATTTGGCTGGCAATTTAACAACTCAGTGCATAAGGCATCTGTCATATTCCAAGAGTGAAGCAATGCTTCATCACATTTTGTCTCAATCCAGGAATACAGCTCCAGTGATCCACCAAATGTTGCAAGAAGTGTCTTGACAAGTTGTCTCATCATACTCCAAGAATCTTGAATAGTTTTCAAGGCTTTCAGCCAGTAGAAATGACATTGAAAATAATGACTGATTCGGCCATCCCTTGGGTGAATGGTTAGTGATGGTTGGGGTTGAGGTGGATATCAGTGTCTTCATTACTTGATAAAGGTTTTGAAGGTCATTCAAAATTATTGGAGCATAACAAGGACCTTTTCAAGGCACTTCAGCAATGTTTCATGGATTATTTCACTACTTGCTAAAGGCCTTGAAGGTCATTCAAAATTATTGGAGCATAACAAGGAACTTTTCACAACACTTCAACAATGTTTCATGGATTACTGCAGCTGTATTGATCAGTTTGAGACAAAATGTGATGAAGCATTGCTTCACTCTGGGAATAAGACAGACACCTTACACATTGAGCTGCTACATTGCCAGCCAAACTCTCATTCAAGATGCTAGTCAGATGAGGACTGACACAACACTGCCCAACAGTCTAATCTATCAGTCCATGGAATGAAAATAATTTTTGTGATATTGACAGACTCACAAAAAAATCAGTCCTCGAACTTTATTGCCAGACCTTGTATGCACATGAAGGCCAGATAGAGAAATCTTATTTCATTATATAATATTTGCACAGTGCACTGGGAAAAAATTCCCCAAAAGGCAAAAGAAATGGGGATTTGTACTCCCCAGGCAAGGGTTTAATACATGATGAACCCTCATAGATACAGACCTCCTGGGTCATCATGGTTCCCATGAATAGAGAACACAGGAAGAGAAATGTTGAGGTTTGGATCTTCATAATTCACAACTGGATTCCAAGAAGATGTGAAGTTCATTGAAGGGTCACTCATGAACTGGATGTGGATGGGCCTGCAAAAAGTATTAATTGCTCCATTTACATCTATGACTGATCAATAATTCATCAAACTTCTTCCAATACTAATCCTACAAAAAGAAATGAGAGGACCACATTACCAAGGAACTTGCCATCAGCCATGAGACTACAACGAAGTTCCGAAGTTAAAAAAAAATAGCACCAGGATAAAAGGGTTTCTCAAAATAAAAAAGCAGGATTGTCATTAAATGAAACAAAAAAAGGCATAGTTGATATTGGATGGCCCCATGAACAAATAGGGCACTACTCAGTATGGGGCTTTACCTGTTTCCCATGCAGTATTTTCGTAGAAGTTCCAGACATTTCATTCTTGCATATCGAGAGGGTTTGTTCTCATGGAATAAGTCTCCACCCAGAAGCAAAAAGTCCACTTCATTGTTCACAGCCAGCTTCAGGATTTCTTCAAAAGTCTGGAAGCTATCCTCTCCTATTGAGAAGAAAGAGCCAGAGATGTCAAGACTCCATCTGACTTAAACAAGAGTAATAGTTTACTTAATAATGGAAACTCATGTATCTTAACACTGATATTTAATATTATTTCTATAGCTTACTAATTGCAATGATAGATAACCATATAATGAAGATAATAGGAAAGGGCCTTGGCATGATCCCAGGGATAGCCTAAGCCAACTCTGATTGAGGGTAGAGCTTAGTCTCCCCCTAAAAATTATGTTTTTGGTCTGATATTATTCTAGATGGGGTACAACAAGGCTTACTAGGTCATTGTTGTCTCCTGAATTCACAACTGAGCTGTTCATGCACGTGGCTATCTTCCCCACCATGGCACCTCTCAGTGGGTCCTACTGTTATGAGATAGAATTGATACCCCTGGATAGTGGGGAATGGAGAAAGTAAGCAGAAAGCTCCACTACTCCATCATGGATTCAACCTAAGAAGTGCACTTCCAGCTCTGGAGTCTAAATTCCATTTTCAGCTGGTATGTCATTCTCTTATGAGGGATCCAATGATAATTGGCTTATTCCTTCCATGGTGATATTGAAAATAAAACTCTCATTATTAGAATCACAGTAGGCATGCAATGTTTCAAGAGAAGGCCCAAGACTTAATTTGCTATTTTTAGTTTCAGATTGGATGTCTCAAGATTAGCACAGTCCTACTCAAAACACATGGGGATAACAAACCTTTGGCAGAATCTTTCTCAGCATATCCCAGGTGATTATCAGTAGCCACAAGAACTCGAAAGACATCATTTGGATCTGGCTCATTTGGCTCCTGTGCCACTTCCATAATCAAGTAGGGAAAAAATATGTCTTGACTAACCCACTTATCAATGTATCATTTCAGATTATAAGTCTATAAAAGTTTTAAACATGTAAACATCTTCATCAGAAACCTGTAGGGGCATGGTCAAACATCGACATCATTACCTTCTGCTAATTGCTAAATCCAGGGTAATCCTGAAAAATCTTCCAATTACTTTGCTCAGTATTTTTTCAGACTCACTTCACTTCCACCTTCTCAGAATACATATATTTGAAGCCCAAATGGCAGTTCAATGATACCTGGCCTAGCTCAACCAGGATAGAGTCCTGATGTCTACAGGTTTTTGGCAAGCTACTGGCCATATCCAAGGCAGCCCACATCATTATTGTATCAATTATGAATCCCCCCCCACACACACACACACACATGCACACACACCTTGCAATTTCAAGAACCTGCTCACATGAAACCTTTTTTTAATATAATACTTTTACTTGGGGGCTTTCTAACTCAGTGGTTCCCAATCTTTTTTTATTTGTGGCACACATAAGGACATTTGAACTTTCCACGGCACACCCAGCCATTTACTTACTTTCAATGGGAAACTTGTGCTTGCTTCGCTGAACACAGCAGTTTGATACGAGGGGTGATAGTGCATCTCTAAGCTCGTTTTCCACTGAGAGATGCTTTTATAGCTTTAGGATTTTAGTTTTTTTTGTCAACTCTCACATCTCATGGCACACCTAAGCATTACTGGCAGCGCACCAGTGTGCCGTGGCACACTGTTTGGGAAATACTGTTCTAACTTTTTAATCTCAGTTAAAGTGGAAGCAACTAGCCCCAGAACTTCCTTGGATTTTGCTCTTATCTATGTAAGTTTCATGTTAGACTTCACTTCATTTGCAAAAAAAAAAAAACAGAATATATTGTGACTTAATGCTGAATTCTACCTCATACTCTAGTAAGGGATACTCATTGCATAATCACCTAATTTGGTGATTTGTGAATGGTTGCTGTAGCGAGTATTATCAATACCTTTACCCATATATCCTGCGCATAGCCTACAACTGTAACGACAGGAATCGGTTCATTTGGTTCATGATGTGGGAAGAGGTGTCAGAAAGAATTATTATTGATACTGACAACCCGTGTTAAGATCGAGCGCCCTTCCTATGTGGATGTGAACGTAGCATGTCTCCACGTGACCGCCTGGGTCGCGCGTATGGGTTCCGCCATAGCTTGGCGCCTTAGCACAGTTGCCACGCTTTCAGCACTAAACTGGCAAACGTCAAGGTTCAAGGTTGTTAGTGATATCAAGAGGCGAACACACACATTTGGATATCACGTGTCGAGGTCGACCGTTCCTTAATCTCAGGGAAAGGTCTAATCTTAAAGGTAAATATTTTTTTATTTTTTTTTTTTAGCTTATCCTGTTTTTTTTTTTTAGTTTATCCTGTTGACGTAGGTACTAGACAGTAAGCAACTAGGATAGTAAAATTGAGGAACGGTATCGAAAGCTTTCGCGAAATCTAAATAGACAATATCCATAGGATTATCCTTATCCCTCTCCTCCGTCGCCCAATCGTAGAATTCCAGCAAATTGGTGAGACGATTTCGACGCCTCCTAAAGCCGTGTTGAGAGTCCCGGATGAGCGCGTTTCCTTCAAGGAAATCCAAGAGGTGGTCCCTATGATCTTCCCTGGGATGCTCGTGAGACTTACCGGCCAGTAATCCCCTGGATTACTCTTTTCGCCCATCTTAAAGATTGGTAACGACGTTCGCTAATCTCCAGTCCTCAAGTATTTCCCCATGCGAAAAGCTGCTTTCCAATATAATTCTTAGCGGTACCGAAATTTCTCTCTCGGTTTCCTTGATGACTCGAGCAGGAATCCCATCGGACCGGTCGCCTTCGAGAGAAGCAATATCTTTATAGTCCTCATACAGTTCAGATCCGTTGAAGTCATTTGGATAAAGAGGCGCCAGATCAACACACTTCTTATTGAGGCCGGTAAGCTGCTCATCAGTTTCACAGTTCAACTGATTGACAAAAGATTCAATTGAGCAGAGAAAACCAAACCGATTCTGTAATTCTAGCAACTATTAAAATCGATTTAAGATTTCAACTCCAATTTTATCCAAAATTTCCCTAAGGCAACGGCACATTTCTTCCTGAGTGCTCAATCCAGCATCAGATGCACTTTCACAAGGCATGGAGCGTTTTTTTTTCATACGTCTGTCCACTGAAAAACCCCATTCATTGCACATATCTCCAGGTTCAGAAATGGCTGTAGTACACAGCTCATTTTTCCAAACTTCAATTTTGTCTATCAAAGTTCCCAATTGAATCAAAGCTTGATTGAAAGTCAACTTTTTAGCCTGAAGACATTTCTGAATTCGGTCAGCAGCAGCAAAGTTTCTTTGACCAGAAACACAGGAGAGCTGCAAATTCGAACTATTGGACACCAATGAGAATCAGACCAGCATCACCACGTGAATCGATCGTTACAGAGGGAGAATCCCGTAGTTGTTCAAGTGCTGCTATTACGTAATTACAAGTTGACTGGGAATGGCCGTCACTGCAGCTGCTTTTGAGCTCCATCTCGTGTCAGAATGGCTCTTGACAGTAATGTTGACAAAATCAGAACTTCCCATCGATGAGTTGAAGACGAAAAATACACAAATAGACGTTCTAGGGTTCCAAAGAAAGTAACAGCCTGAACATTCACATGTGCTGCATGAACGCCGACCAGATTTAGAGTGATTGTTGCAAGGTACAAAAACACCCAATGGATTCAGATCTAAAATCCGTTTTTGAGCACCAGAACGAACACCAGTCATTGTAGCTTGATTGTCATATGACTGACCTCTGCAGTCTTGA